CCCACCACCCCGACGCGGGAGGGAAGGAAGGCGCGCGCGCTTGCGCCGCTTCCACGCCCGCCTTTCAAAAGCGGCGGAGACTTCACGGACAAGCCACGCCTCCCCCCTTCCCCACCTTTTCGACATACAGTATAAGGGAAAGGGGGCGTGGCTGACGCGGCAACGAAGCCACCGCTTCACGTGGCGATTGGCTGAGTCGGTCTGAAAGAGAAGGGGGAGGTGCCTGAGTGACGGTTGGGCGAGAGAAGCGTGATGCGCCTGCGTGTGGGTGGGTGTGCGTGTGTGTGAGAGGGAAATAGGCGGGAAACTTGCGAAGGGCACTGGTGCGTGCTCCTCAGGATTTGTTGGCCTCCACTTTCCCCTTTTTAATTTCGATATTCCTACCTGTTCTGTTGCAAAATTCAGCTTTATTCAGTATACCTCATTGGATTGTATTCCCCTGCTAAGCGATGGCACTAAAATGCTAGTAAATAAATCACCAGCCTCTTCTCAAGTGATGGCCAAAGTATTGCAGCCTCAGTTTCTCACATACTTCTCTCCTACAGTATTTGCATCTACAATTAACTCCACAGTTCTATGGGTGTCTGTTCAGAAAAGAGTCTCATTAAGTTTAATATTGGTATGCAATCCCAATAGAAGTCATAAATGCAATGCCCTCTTAGCAACTAACTGTGCAGAGTGCTTTTCCAACCTTATGACAATATTTTCAATACGGCTATTATTAATATTGAAGTTCTATTTCCCAATCTTGCCACCTTCTTGACATCTCTTGTTGCACATTCTAATCAATCAACAATTTCAAGATGAAGTTTTGGAGTACATCTTGTGGTTTTCTATCCTCACCCTTGGGTAGGAATATCTTTTGGTGGAATTTGTTTGATCCTGGAAGGCATTTTCCAGGAACAAGCTTTGAGCAGCCTACCAATAGATTTATGTATCCTACTAATAACACCTTGTAGGATGAATAGCAGCCCACTCACCTGTGTGGGTAGAAATGGGTTTTGCCAAGATCTAGCTGTTTAGGAGAACTTTGTAAGTCCAAAATGTTTTGTTTCTGCTTAACTGCCATGTTCGAGGCTCACTTCCTTTGTTTACTTGGAGTGGAAGTTAAGGTACTAGAAGGGTGCTGTGCAGTGGCGGTGGGGTTGATCTTAGCCCTGAATTTTACTCTTTGCTTTAAATTGAAACTTTGGGGGTTTTAAAATCTGTTTGGGGAACATATCCCATGTAGAAACAGATTTTAAGCTTATAAAATAGTTTGCATGCCAAGGCATTTCTGACAGGAATACATTTTCTGATATGTCTGAATACAAAACACCCACACAAATAAGTTGCTATTAGTTCATCACACTTTTTTGCCGCTGAATATATAGTATGGAGTAGGTGTCAATAGATGTGGATTCTTTCACTAAAATTTATAAATAAACAGCCCAAAAGAAAGCCTCAATAAATTTAAAAGCAAGTTTAATCTTGTCTCTTTGTGCAAGCTCCTGAATTACTTCTTCATACACTCAGGCAAGGGATTTGTTGCAGGATTTAGAGTTTCTCTTCACAACTCATTTTGGCAGGGCTGTCTTTCCGATGATTTCTGTGTATGAGTACCAGTGTTTTTAAAGGACAGCAGCTTGTGATGGTACTTGTGTTACTCAAGGACAATGATTTTCACATACTAACCATTTTCACAGCTGACAGCTTTATCAAAATACAAGTTGTGGGTAGAAAAAAAACCCCATCAAAATTAACAAGACACGTTCAACTGGGAAAAAAAAGAGATCTAGGCTAATCTTAACAGAATTATCAGAATCTCAGCTGGCCTCCTCAGAAACCTGGAAGTCAGTTTACACAGCTGAGCAAAGAATGCAGAAATCTTCACCTCCTTTTCAAAATTATCAGGAAACTGGGACAGACCAAGAGCAAATACTGATTGTAGAAAGCTCTATTGTCATAAGGGAGAATTATAAACGCATGTCTGCTATATCTACCTCTCTTCAACATTCTTGGCACTATATCTTCCCTTTACTTTTCCCACTATTAATTTCTACTTACAGCTTGAACGACTTAAACAACTCTGCAAATGCCTTATTTTAGGCCTTTTTCCACATGGCAGCTTCCCCCCCAAATTAACCATGGAAACACAGCGGTCAAAGCATGGAGGAAGAGTCAACCTATGAATACCATGTAACAGGCACAGAAAGCATTTCCGTCACATACATCCACTGGCTGGTTGCATAATACAAGGAGGCGGGTGAAATCTCTCTGAGGGGAAAAAGACCGTTTTGAAGATGATTGCTTTAGTCATTCTTTAGACCTGCCAACATTATTACGGAGATGTGCTTACAATGCTGTCTTTCCATGCATAGCAAGTGGTGTACTTTAAAGCTGCCCCTATAATAAGTGATGCAATATAGAGAAAAAACATTGTGGACCACTGGAGAGCAGTAAACTACGGTATTTTGTTTATTCTTATATATTTACACTGCGGGAGGACATGAGCAGATACTGAAATGTCTTAGGCAGGCCCATACTATCTTTTATATAGAGTTACAACACAGAGACCCATCTTTTAATGGCAAGCTTTTGAATTGCCCAGAAAGTTTCCCCAGGCAAAGGATTATGAAGAACTCAAGATATTCCCTTGTTTGTCACCTTTTTTGGGGGGAGCGGGTCTAGTACACCTATTATTCAACCCAGTACTTATGGAGAATGTGGCTATTTTTTCTATTTGTTCCTTTTCCAGAAGGAGATGAGCCAGCCTGTGTAGCCTTGGGCAAACTGCACAGTCCCAAGGGACCTCCATGACTATCTTCCCAGTGCCGTCACATGAGGACGGGTGTTCCTTGTTCATATGTGGTTTTTGTGCCCTGCTGTGAAGTGATTCAGGGAGCATCAAGTTGCATCCGGGTTGCAATGACAGATCAGCAAACTTACTTTAGCAGAAAGGTGCTGTCTATGTACACAGGGAGAAATTAAAATCTTACTCCACAAGGAGGTGACCTCATTCGTTCTATTCACTAAAAAATTAAGGGTGCTTGAGGGACTAATTGAAAGAATCTGAACTACATGAAACACTCAAGAGTGAAGGTCCAAAATGATTCTTTTCACACTGTTTCTCACCTATATATTTGCATATATATTTAAAAAAATCATCAATCTTCTGTTCATCCTTTATCACTTTGTACTGGTGACCTTTAGAGCCAGAGATGTTCCCAGCTTGAAACCACAAAAACGCATTAGACTCTTGATTTTACCATTTGATGACTATAAAAGCAGGATGCCAATATTTTTTGTTTGTACTTGGCTTGTATTTTGCAATTTAAAAAAACGACATCCCAGATACTGAACAATGGTGAGATTGTCCCAATAGTAAAAATGGGCAGGCCAAGGCTAATGATAATATACAGTACCTTAAAACTACCTGCACTGAGATTTATTGTACTCATTTAAAAGGACCTCACTGCTTATCTCTTTTCATACATAAGTTGTAACTAAACACGCAGGCCAAAAACCTAATTTAAAGCCCCAACTAGAGAAGTGCTATTGAATCAATGGAATTTACATTTGTATTGATCCACCATTTGACAATTAATGAGTCTACTCATTATATTATTGGGGACTAGCAATAAGATTTAGGTTTTGGTTATTGAAATAAATAAGTTCTCTTTTTCTCTTTCATTCAAGTCCTCCGTTCCTGGTCCATTCAGAGTAAAATTGAAATAATACCTCCAGTAAAATCTGTTCTCCCATAAGCAAGCAGTTGGGTGCAGGCACTAGCGTCCAATTCCCGCATCCTGCCGTACCTATAAAGATGTATTATCTTTGTTCTAAACTAGGGCTGGAGCCAAAAACATTTAACTGAATTGTTCTGATGTCAACAAAGGTAGCTGAGTTTGTGAACAAGCAGTGAACTCAATGTGAAAGAGAGCCCCATGCGGCATTAGTTAGAACAACCCTGGAATGTTGTTTTTAAAATCCAGTTCCTCCCCTCTCTAGCTGAAGCACTGTTTTATCACACTAGATTTGTCTTAATAAATAAATGAATAAATAAAAATAATTAAGAATGGTGCAATAAGTGCAATGTTTTCCTGCAGGAAAACGAATGCTCAGACCAGCCTTTAAACCTCCCGTTCACCAGCTTCCGGTGGTACCAATGCTGTGCAGTCAGATCCTTACTCTGAAATAAGAGTGCATAAGAGCACGAGTTTAAAAACAAAGAGAGTCAAGTTGTTAACAACTGTGTTTAAGTAGCAAACTTTGTTTGCTAATCACTATAAATGAATTAACTGTCAACAGATGCTTGGTTTATAAAACAAGTTGAATGTTTATTTGAAACTGGTGTTTCATTGTTCCAATAAGACATTCTGCAACATACTGTATATCAAAATAAACCTCTTTAGGTAAATTATTCTTTGTTAAGGCCTATTAAACAATGCACAGAAAGTTCACCCAGTGTCTTCCTTTATTTGAATATGACCTTCAGGTTTCCCAGTTTCATTTGCTTAATGTTCACCTTTAACAGTTTTTCTTGGGAGAGGGGCATTTAAAAAGTAAAGTACTATGCTTAGATTTCAATAGATGTCAGTGGAACTAATCCAAAAATACAGTACATTTCTCTAACACATATGTGTGTCTCTAATGCTCAGTTGGCCACTAAACACAACCTTTTCTTATTTCACCTATATTGCTGTCTATTCCCTATACTTTCAAGTGTATTCGTGCTGTTTGGTCCATTTTAATACTATAGCTTTATATGCATTATACAGTATTGAGGTGACCCACTGATTCGGTGGGATTTACAAAAGTGTTGACTTCCAGTGCCGAAATCGATTCCATGGAATTAGCTACATGAATTTGGCTTTTCTATCCAAAATCCACTCTGACTGCAATATATTTTCCAGATGAAAAGCTTTACTTACAGACTGCTCTGTTGTAAGTCTTATTTGGTGTCATCAGCTAACATTCTCCTGCTTTATTCTGTCGGTCGCTCATGGTCTAAAATGGAAGGCGCCTCCCTCCCAAATTTCAGAGGGTGGCCCCTTACCCTGTCATTGCTTTGCTTAATCCTGTCCCTCTTCTTCGTCTTTGCCATCTTTCTCAAACTGGAAGGTTACGAGATAATTACTGGTGCACTTATTTAAGTAGCACACTGTATCAAAATACAGTTAGAGGAATATGACCAAATTATTATTAATCGTCTCCTCGCACCTCCCCCCCGGATGAGTGCAGAATTCAGGAACACCTACCAATGCTTATAAAGTATATAAGTTCCAAAATGCTTCTAGAATTAACAGATCTGCAACCGTATGATGGCATGACGCAAGAGGGATTTTAAAACATGATATTTGGTCTCTTTATTTAGTCAGTGTAAGTTGCCCCCAGCAAGCTGTTGATGCAATGTTCAAGAATTAAGTACGTTTCAAATTTGGTAAACATAGGGAGGTTTTTTTTTTATGTCAGCATTGAACCAAGGTCACAGACCCATGAGACTTTGATCAGCGATGATCAAAATACAGAAGAAGAGAAGAAAAATTCAGGGAATTAAAATTAATGAAAATTGTGCTTTAAGTCAGCCTTAAACCTGGTTGCGACCCCTATGCATGACGATGGGAAGTGTGGCGAGGCATTTTTTTAACCAGGTCTGTGAGGGAGGTGTGGCCAACCTGTGGAGGTCAAAGGTGGGGCAGCCTTCCCAAGAGTAGAACACTTTTTTGGTTTTCAGCAGAACGCTAAAGTCACATCAAGGAAGCCCAATGACTCCCACTGACTTTCTTCTAACTAAACATGCAACAGGCCAGGCCATTGGCTGTCAAAGCAGCATTTTAATAACACAGAGAAAAATGTAATTCCCTCCTTAAATTGTTGAAGGCAAACACACAGCTAAGCACAGCCTAGTAATAGCGTGCCTTCATCTCAAACACGTAAAATGGGATTTTGCAAAAGAAAAGAAAAATGCCAATTAAAAAATGCCTGGAGGAGTTGTCCTATGAAAACATGCACTAACTCTGATGATGCTCTTTGTTAAAAAAAAACAACAAAAAACCTCCTTCCCTGCCCACAGTAGATCAGGATGCTCAGCGATCATTCATGGCTTATTTGGTCACATAAGTGTACACCGTTCTATATGAGTCGTGCGGAGGTTTATCCGTTATTTTCCATGAAAAAGAAAGAAAACAGGAAACCAAGCAAGATCAGCGGAAAAACACTGGTGCAGTGTTAGCCCACTGCATTGTGTAAACCCTTCCCTTATCATCGGTGGTTGCCCACATGGAACCTTTTCTCTACAAAAGCCAGTCTTTTATTTTTATTTTCTTCACCTTAAGCTTTGGTTCTAAACTCAATTACTCGGTGGAAATTCCCTTTGCCATTCCCCCCCCCTGAGAATTCGAACAAGCCACTGGTGCGCTCTTCAAGCCCGTAGATACGAACTGGGGAACGCGTTTACCGGTAGAGTATCTCGCTAGATCCTTAATAGCGTTTGTGATTCAGTCACATCCATGGATTTCCAGGGGCGGGAAATGAGCCGGTCTTGGAGAAAAGTCTCCCGTTGATTGTTGGCCCATTTGTCTATGTGTTTAATACAGTAGTGACTGATGGATTGAAAATATTTGTACAGTACCCTGCTTTTCTCCTTAATAAAACCCAAGGCCTTTCTCCCAAAACTGAGACACGAGACGGTTTACAATAGTGCTTCATCTGCCCCCCGTCCAGTGGCGTTTCGGAGTGTGCAATCAACTGTTGCAGTCCGGGTGTTCCCTTTTGAGAATCCCCTTTCAAATGACAATGCCTTCCGCCCATTGATCCATTCCTGGTGGTTTATGCCATCCTTAGCTTCCACCTCCAGCCCCTTTGGTTGCCAATTCCTCCTCAGCAGCTGGTGGGTGTGACTTGGGCCATCATAGGCATCCTTCAGTCTCGAGAGACTATGGTAACATGCTCTGTATCAAGGAGCGTCCTCTCCAGAGCATGAAGCCTGGGTAAAGTAGTATGGAGGATAGGCTGTTACCCAAGCAGCAGATCCCCCCTCTCCACGTTGCTGAAATGGTCCCGTGGAAAGGCAGGAGCCAACAAAACTGGTTCCAGCGACGTCGCAGGAGTTGGCAGAATGACACGAAGAGCCTCCGGGACTCCAGCTCCGGATTTTGCCTCTAGGTTAATTCCTGAAGCCTTTTCCATAAGTGGATATAGCCACAAGGCAGTGAAGGTTTGAAATCAGAGTTTTCCTTCTCCTTCTTGTGCACCACACCCTTTAAAAGCTAGGATGGCTTCCTGGGAAGGATCTTTCTGAAATCCTTGGTATTTTTCCCCCCAGCTAGCTGATGTTGTTTTGGTTCCTTAATGACCCATATTGAACAATAATATAGAACTAGGAAAATAAATAAATGAAAGGAAGGGACGAGCAATTTCTGGCTGCCTGAGTTACTTATTGCTTTGTATTTTTATAGGTGGTCTTTCTCCCCAGAAAGGGAGCTTACAATGGAACTGAATCTGTTCCTTCTCGTGTGCAGGGACCTCAGCGGGAATCGCCAAAGGCTGCAGTCTGACCCCCTACGCCAGAAACCGCCCCCCCCCACGTCCCTGGACGCCAGGGACTACAACTCCCATTATTCCCTCTTAGGAGGCCCGATCATGGGAACGGCAGTCCCTGCCTCTTTTACTCAGGAGCAAGTCCCGTGGCATTCAAGGGTACTGCACGCCTTCTGGTTTAGGATGGCGACTTGCGCAGAAGGCTTAGGAGCAAAGAAAATCCCCGATTCTTTTGGCGGCCGATGCATTTCGAAGGATAACGGAGCGCCGCTTTCCCACGGTCGCGGCTGCATCCCGGGGGACTTCTCCAAACAGCCTCGTTCTTCTTTTTTTCTTCTCAATTGTGTGTGTGTGGGGGGAACCCGACTTCTTTTGAACGCTTGACATTCAATCTGGAGATGTGGCGTGATCCCCCATCATCACAACTCACACCTCCCAGCCCACCCGGATCCAACACAATAAAAAAAGGAGGCACTCTTGGGGGGGAGGGGGAGGAGGAGGGGATGCTGGGCGTGGTAGTTTTCTCTAGCAACACCTGGTGCTGCCGGGTTGGTGGAGAGGAACTACAAGTCCCACCAGGCAGCGCGGCTGGCCGCTTTGGCTGGTGCAATCTTCGGGGCTTCATAAGAGGCGGTGGAAACCCGGCTGCTGGAGGAGCGTGTGGACGGTTCTCCCTTTTCGTGCACGGCGATTGGGATTTTGTCGTCTTCCCCCCTCCCCCCCCCAAAAAAAATCCCGGGACCTGATTTCTCCGCAGAGGACAGGCTGCAAAGGCTTGCACCGGCTTGAAGGCTCCCTTTTGTCCTTCTTGGCCGGGATCCTAACAGATCTTCCTCGCCAGATCCGGGCTGGAGGAGCGTGTGGACGGTTCTCCCTTTTCGTGCACGGCGATTGGGATTTTGTCGTCTTCCCCCCTCCCCCCCCCAAAAAAAATCCCGGGACCTGATTTCTCCGCAGAGGACAGGCTGCAAAGGCTTGCACCGGCTTGAAGGCTCCCTTTTGTCCTTCTTGGCCGGGATCCTAACAGATCTTCCTCGCCAGATCCGGCTCGGCGCCCCTTTTTCCATCCAAAGTTGCCTC